ACCCCCAAAGACCTCTGGAGGGTGGTAGAAGACTGAGATGTCACAGGAGGATGGGGAAGAAATTTTTGCAGGCTAATGGAAGTCAAATTGCAAAAACCAAGAGGAAGAGGCATTGGCCAAAGTAGGCACATTCAACACAGACCAAGTCAGACATTGAAAAGGAAAAGCAGAGCCACAATTCATAAATTATGAGCATGTGATCCATATTCAAAATTTTTTTTTGTCCTGGGCCCTAGCTGCGATAGCTAAGACTATCTTAAGAAATTGAATATTTATGTGGTTTTAAAATTAGAAAATAGATTTTCTGTACTGTGCTTTTTCTGTAATTGTGCAAAATGTGTTAAGGAACTAGTTAGAACTCCACATTAAGCCAAGAGCACTGGGCTACGGGAGCAAGTTGGCTCCATCAGAAGCAGCTGCAAGTCATAGGCAGATCTCCATTCTTCTCTGTGCCTCAGCTTCCCCATTTATACAGTGTGGAACAAATGAAAGCTAAAACTTCTCCATTTTCTAAGAAGTAAAGATGTTAATTCAAAATAAGATTTGCCTTCTATTGTTAATTACGTTTTTCCTAATAGTCCTTCATTTTGGCCCTTCTAAAAGTAGCTGAAGGAGAGAAATCTCTTCTAATTATCAATCTAAATAAAAGTTATGTCTTCATTTTGTAATATAATCATTAGAAAAGCTATTTAACACAAATATGTGGTACTAATTAGGAGAACTATGTATTTACTAGCAATATTTTCAGACAAAATTTATAAGCTCAGAGCCGAGTCTCCACCTCTTCAGGCGTCTTTCTCCCTGCTCTAAACAATGATTTGATTTATAACGCTCATTCAGTGTTTCATTTAGTGTTAATTTTAACACTAAATGAAAAGTTTCATGCAGTGGTGATTTTAAAACATTTTACTTCATATGACAAAAGGAATCTCCTAAACTACTTGTCTAAATTGTAACCATCATTACAAGGTTTTCATATAAAGACTTTTAGCCCTCAAAGTGCCCTATGAAGACTTAAAATTTTGTTCTCAAAACATAACCCATACATTACATAAGGGGTTGCTGACCTCATCCTACAAATTTAAGCCAGGACCTGAATATGTACCTTCCCCCCGGGTTGAAAGGAAATAGTGGTATTTAAATCCCAAATCTAATCATCTAATGCTATTCCAGTGGCATACCCTCTTTTTCGTCTTTTTTTTTATTTCAAGTTTTCTAAAATCATCGGGGAAGTAATAGATCATATTTAATTGTTCAGGCTTTTATGTTGTACTTTCAGAGGCGTGTTTGATTTGTGGTCTGGCTGTAGTTCAGTATTATCCAACACTAGGTTTAATTCATCGGCCCAATATCAAAGCTTTCTCGCTTTGGACAGAAATAAAAATAATAACTTTAAGTTTTTCCTGGCTTTCTAGCAGCCAGTCAATAATGAGACTTGCCGTGTTTTTAAGATGACTGTATACGCTCCCCATAAAAGATGGATATGTAATCCTTTTATTTTACATAAGCATTCAATTTCTCCTGTATGAAGAAAGCAAATCTTGTTTTCCTAACTTCACTTAAACTATGCCATTAAGTTTATAAAGGGTAAACTGCCAGATTCCGCTGGTCCTGAGTAAAGTCTGTGATACCTGTACCACTTTCCTCAAGCCTTTCCTTGTGCAGCCAACTAAAGAGGAAAGAGAGAAGTCAGCAGTGACTGCAATGGTCACATAGTCCTAAAATGATGAAAACAATACAAACGCAAATCACCAGAGGAAAAATAGCTCTTTTGCAGTAATGTCACAGTGACATGACAAATGGCCTCAGATTATCTGAGCTCTTACCTAGCTGTAGACTTTCTAAGATCGGTGTGCAAACATGAGCTGGAACATTCACCTGCAAGACCACGCAGTCCAGGATCCAACATCTTGAGTGCCGGGTTCCTTTCTTGACTGCCTCTAAGTGACCTTGAGCAAGTCACTTCAATATCCCACAAGCTATCGACCTTTTCACATTGGCTCACAGCAATCATCCTGGCTCTCCAGGGAATGTAAGGTAGACTACAGGCAGGTCTACTGTCACTGCTTATTACATAATGAGATTAATCCTCAGAATGTCTTCCACGTTCAGATTAAGCCCTAGGCTTTGGCACACAACTCCTTTTACTATATCCACTTGAAAATTTAAACAGTTCGTGACTACTGCAGATTTTCTCCATTTCCTGATTTGAAACCAATTTTTGACTTTTAAAAATCTTTTCTCTTCCATATTATCTTTTCTCAATCAAAACTACACGTTTTAGGCATTCACACCAAAACAACACTCTGCATTTTCCATTTTACATACAAAAAGTAAAAACAGTCATCCTCATACAAAATAGTAGACAGCAAGCTTGCAAATTCTCTATCTCAAGTTTCAAAATAGGTTTTTAGGAATGAAACAATTGGTTAATGATGAAATGACATTTTTTGAACATGAATGAGGAGGAATTTGCACCACCAAGGAGCTTGTGAAAGGAACATGGGAAGCTGAATCCTAACATTTTACATTCGTATGAAGATGCAAAGGACCAAAACTACCCAAGCTACTTTGAAGATAAAATGGCAGGCTTGCTCCAACCTTACTATAAAGCTGTCATAAGTAAGGCAGCATAGTATTAGCACAAGCAGGTTCACAGAACTGAAGGGAGAACCCAGAGAGTGACAGACATGTACAGATGCTGGTAAATGGCAGAGTGGACAGGGGAGCAGCTGAGGACTGTCTCTGCAGTCCATAGCGCCAGGATAACTGGCAACCCAGGAAGAGCCCTCCCTCACACAGAGTGCAGTCCAGCTACAAAGACCTAATGTGAAGGACAAAATTATAAATTTTTTTTTAAATATAAAGATTTTAAGCCATAAGAATATATCTCCATGACTTCAAGATAGGAAAAGGTTTCTTTTAACAAGATACAAAAACACTAAAAGACTGATAGATCTGCCATTAAAACTTTTTGTTAATCAGTACACCATAAAAAGGATGAAAAGTAATCCCCAGAAATGAAGAGGATATTTATAACAGTCAATCAAATACTAAGTTCTTTGGATACAAAAACTTAGTATCATATACATATGATATATATCCTACAAATCAATTAGGAGAAGACAGCCAACAAAACACAGTAAGAAAATGGATACAATCCAAATGAGTACAACTCAAAAGGAAAAAAATCCAGGGTCCAATAAACATATGATGTCCTGTGCCATTCCCAATAAGGGAAATTCAAAGCGAAAGCACAATGGATGTCTGCTACATAACCTCACACTGGCTACAACGAAAGCCTGGCAGTGCCAAATGTAGGCAGATTGGAACTCTCACACCCAGTGGAAGGTGTAGTAGAGATTTAAAATGATAAAAATATGCTTACCTCACAACCCAGCAATTCTACTCTTAGAGGTACCATATAGAAACACGTTTGTGTGTGCTCGTGGCAGCACTGCTTTTCATAGACAAAAATTGCAAACACCAAGAAATTACAAATTACTCTATTAATAACACATTATACAGCAATGAAAATAAATGACATCATACATGACATGAATCTTCTAAGCAATGTTGAGTGAAGGATACCAGATGAGACATAGAGAATGGGTCTACCTTTGCAGAAGTCAGAAGTGGGCAAAAAACAAGCTACCCATATTGTTGCATACATAATTAGTAAAACTAATTTCTTAAACATATGGAGGATGGGGGTTGCCAGTGTCAGGATGATTATGACCTCTGGAGACAGCGTATGTTGAGAGGGGCACAGTGAGATTCTGGATAGCTGGCAGTGGCTTCTCTACACCTGGTTTGTCTTTACATTGTCGTCCTGTTATCCGTTACGTTGTACTTTTCTGTAGGTTCTATTTTATAAAATTTAAGAAAGGACTGCTGTTCTACTGAATATTGACACCAATTAAAGCCATAATGATTAATATTGTGAGAAAAATTAGAAGGCCCAAAAATAAGCCCAAGACATACAAGCATATAGACAACTGAATTGGTGGCTTTTGATACTGAACCAATTGGTAAACTCTTTGCAAAAATTAACATTAAGCCCCTATTTCATCAATAACCCCAAATAAATTTGAAATGGAGATTAATGGACACTCCCTTTTCACCTCAAATTGTGTAGATAACACGGGTTAAATGTATATAAGCAAGTTGAAATTACTTCTGAATTAAATGTAACTATAAAAAGATAAAAATTAAAAGAAAATAAATTACCATTCTTGGGTTAGAAAGTATGTTTAAGCATGCAAACTCCTAAAAGAAAACTACAGTGAAACATCATAAACTGTATTAAAAGGCAAATGACACACCAAAAACATAATTATATAGTAAGGGATGGACATTCTTAATTCATAAAACTTATGAAACAAGGAAAAAGGTGAGCAGGCAATTCTCAAAAGAATAAGCTCTCTACTCAGTAAGACGGGGGCTGAATGTGGTGACTCATACCTGTGATCTCAGCTATTTAGGAAGTGTAGATAGGAGGATTAAACAGGGTTTGAGGCCAGCCCTGGCAAAAAGTGAGGCCTATCTCAAAGAACAAGCTTAGTGTGGTAGTGTATACCTGTAATCCCAGACACTTGGGAGGCTAATGTTGGAGATTCACAGTCTGACACTGGCTCTGGACAAAAACACAAGAACCCATTTGAAAAACAGCTAAGCAAAAAGGACTGGGATATGGCTCAAGTACTAGAATGCTTGCCTAATATGCATGAGGCCGAATTCAAACCCCAGTACTGAGAAAGGAAAAAAAAACAGAGTAGTTGGCAAATAAACATGAAGAAACATCCAACCTTCACAAAGTATAGCTTTTTAAAGTGTAGCTTTTTTCTGTTATTATCCGTTTAATTCTGGAATGTAAATATAGACAGGATCTCTGCAGAGTAATATGTATCAAGATTCTCAAAAACTTCTATGCCCTTTTACCTGGCAAATGCATTTCTAGAAAAATATCTTCTGGAGAAGTCACTGTGTACAGATGTGATTATCTTTTAAGGTGTTGATCACCCCACTGTTTTATTTTACAATAAATTGTTAAATATGTGCTTGTTTGAAAGTTATGGTATACCATGAAACATCCTGCAGTTTTCTTAAATACTTCCACATTTAAATGGGAAAGTTTTTCAATACACAGGGCAGACTCTGAAACAAGATAAGCCTGACTGCATAAAAAAAGAATATGAACTCTCCAATGTTAAGAGATCGTCTGACTCAAGTTTACATGAGCCCTTCCACATCACCTGCTTTCCAGAAATGTTATTTCGTTCTACAGAGAAATAACTTCAAATAATTTTGTTTTGATAGCATCTATTAGTTTTTCAAATGAAAGAAAAAACTAGTAGCTCAGTATACTTTTTAATATTTCCCTTTTTTAGGTGAGGGAGAATATGGAAATTCTTCAAAGTCCACAATGCAGCATGGAGCCCTTTTACATGTACATCTAACCTAAATGTGTTCAATTTAGCTAAATGCCAACAAAGTATCACAATTAGTATTTGAAGTTGCTCTAATTAATATTTTATTTTTTCTTTTAATATTTTTAAGGTTCCACATATTAGACAAAGAATTTTTTGATAACAGAAGTGTTAATTTACCTGAAGACAATGTAATTTACAATGACATGACGTGTACACATGTGAGAATGAAACTTCGGCAGCCTGTAAATGCCTCTTTGGGGGAATAAAAGCCATGTACTGACAACTCGATTTTAACTTTAAAGAGAAAACTGCTCTTCTTACCACATGTGAGTGTCCTGTGCAAGCACCTATGGTCTGTCAGGGCAATGAACTCAAGTCAGGTGACACAGAACAGCTCCTCCTTTTACCCAGATCAGTCTACTTGGACATATCCTATCCTTTGAGTTACTCCAGCCAAGTCTGGTCATCTAGAAAAACCTCCACCCTCCAGCACCTTCTCAAAGTTCTCCTTATTCCTAATCAGAAGAAAGGTAACAGTCTTCCTAAGGGAAGGTAGGAGAAGGAAATGCTCATTTGTTGAGTGTTTTCTCAACATCTTCTGAGGTATTCACATCCAACATCTCAGTAACTCCATACAAGCATGCATACTCAACTGCTCCCTTCACTTCTCAAAAAACGAGCAAATTATGACTTCCCAATTCATTTTCGGGACCTGGGACAGCTAAGTATTTCACTGAAAGGCAGGTGATAAATGCTACCTGACAGAGGTAAGAATAAGGAAAAAGCACAGTAATCTGCTTTCATTTGACTTAAAGGAAAAAAATGTACTCTACTACATACTAAGATTTCAGACCAATGCACGACACACTGCAAAACCTTAATATGATGTGGTCAGTATTCAGTATTAAACTATCCAAGCACATAAAGATCATCTTCTGAAAAACCAGCTCAGCTTTTGCTGTAGCTACCTTTGTGTAACTTTACAATTTTTCCTTCAACAGTGTCTGACACTGATCTTGATACTTGGTAGGAAGTCTGATGTGAGCTAATGACATCTCAGCAGTGGGAGACGGAGACGGGAGGCTCCCAATGACGTCTTCAGAACTCCTCGTCAGAGGACTGGGAATCATCTTCATCCCTTGCTTCCTGGTACTTCCCTGAAGACTCTCCTTCTGGATTATAACTCTGCATTTTAATATTAAGTCTTTCAGATAACTTTTGTGCTGCGAGCTTCGCTTGCATCTCCTTTAAAATAAAGAGAAGCACAAAGTTACACAATCACATCTTTTACTTACTATTTTTCAACAGGAAGTCATTTAAACAGAATTAGAGATAAAGGAGTGTAACTTCCACTTAGCACTCTCTGGCAATACAAGGAGGCTGAGCTATGTCCTGTACAGATACGGGCATTGCCTATAGTCTGCCACAGTTGTAGTTACTGTTTCCATTAGTAAACAACACTGCATTGGAATATCCTACCCCAGTACAAGAAACTGAGTGATCAGTTTAGCACGACAAAAAATGGGCATGTGTGTACTCACACCACATGCACACACAAAACAATCCGACTTATGTCAAAAATCACTAATGCTGCAATTTCTCCAACTGACACAACGTTCCTCTCTAGATTAAATCGTGACTTCTAGGCTTGAGCATTACATTTCTGTGGCACAAGGAAAATCAAGACAGTAGCACTAACATGCAGATTACCCTCTCCAAATAAAGTACTACAGAAATCAGTACCCAAGAAAAGGTCCGAGTAGGGCTGGTGGAGTGGTAGAGTACCTGCTTAGCAAGCACAAGGCCATGAGTTCAAGCCCCAGTACCACCAAAAAAAAAAAAAGAAGACAAAAAGTCCAGTAAACTTTCGACTGGCAAGGTACATCAAGGACGTCACTACCAACCTGCTGGCAGGTGCCCATTCCTGACTGCACTCTTCTCTGTTCCCCCACCCCTGCAGCTTCAGTGTGTCCTTCCCCTAAGCCATGGAGTGAGTGGACAAAGCCACTACCGCTCTTCCAAGGAAGCCAATTTCAAGCTGAAGGGTTTAACTCAACTAAAAAATGTCTTGGGACAAGCATTTCAGATCCCAGAGACAACTTTCAAAACATTTCTTGGATGCCACAGTTAGAACTTCCAATAATTTTCGTGTACTGAAAACAAAGTGGCTTTGGAAAAAGAAAAAGTGCCCTGACAGTGCCAATCCATGCTAATTGAGCTTCTATGAAAAGCCAAGGCAGATGAACAGTTTTATGTTAGTTGGAGCATACCGCCTGCCTAGAACCAGCTGAACAGTATCAGAGATGGACAGGATGTGTTTTCCTGGAGACTCACACTTTCTATTTCCCCCTAGGCAAATACTTCTCCCATCCTGCTAATCTGAACCCTGCTATCAATATACATATTTAAGCGGGGCGTGCCACACGCCTATAATCCTAGCTACTTGGGGGGGGGTGTAAAATCAGGAAGATCATGGTTCAAGGCCAGCTCAGGCAAATAGTTTTCAAGACCCCTATCTCCAAAATAACCAGAGCAAAATGGACTGGAGGTGTGGCTCAAGTGGTAAAGCACCTGCTTTGCAAGCACAAAGCTCTGAGTTCAAACTCCAGTCCTACCAAAAATGTATACACACACTTGAAATCCTATGCATAACACGTGGATCCTTGGAGCTGGTGCTATATAAAACTAAGATGCCGAAAGTAGCTGCTTTTATCTTCACATGACCCACAGAATATGCTGGTAAGTACAGTGCTCCATTGTCTGCTGGCAACAACACTGCCCTCAACTTTCTGTGCTGCTCCCTGTACTGAAGGAGCTGGAAGCCTGACAACTACATTTGTCTGCTTCTCTCAGCAAGGCTGACAACTGAGGAGCAAGCAGACGCAGATGCACAGGCTTTGGAACTCTAATCACCTCCCTACAATTCCTGATAAATCTCCACTTCCATGTGGCAGGCAGCTATGCTTATTTATTTCCTGCAGTTCTAGCAGGTGTGGGACAGCGAAAACCTTGTGACAGGTCTGAAAGCTAATGGCCTCAGCTAACCATTACTCAAGCACCTAATCCCTCCTATTAAATCCCTTTCCTCCTTGAACTACCTAGTATAAACTCTAACTTACAAAAGCAGCATCCAACAGACAAGAAAAACTTAGCGCAGTAAATACCTCATAATTCTGTTTCTGCTGTATCTGAAGTGCTAAAGACTCCTCTATGGAGAGCAGCTGCGTAGGCAGATGGTGAAGCGGCAGGAGCCGCGCTGCTGTGATGTCATCAAGATGCTGCTTATCCCTGCGCCGTCGCTCATCTGAGGAAACAGGGGACTCTCCCCTTGGACAATGACTAGGCAAGTCATCCTGTTGTGATGGCAACCTGGAGGGAAAACTTATACCATCAGGCTATTCTTTTTATAGACACAATCAAAACATTCACACACAAAGAAAAATGACCTTTAACCCTGGCACTTAGTTCTTTTACAAAGAGTAAGCAGTTTACCTATATTTATTGCTGAAATGGAGTGGGTGTGTATTTACACAGAAAAAGGCTCTTTGCCTTTCCTCTTCAAACCTTATTTTTAAACTGAAGCTATTTTTCAGTAAATTCAAGAACCTTTGCAAAGGGGCTCACTGACTAGTAAAGGGAAATAAACATGTTAGTAGTTTTAATGCAATATAATACCACAGGTATCATGACAAACGGGACCAATTCCAGGAGGAAAGGGACATTGTCAGAAAAGCTTCAGTGTGCAATGTGAAAAGTCTTGAAGTAAGTGCTCACCACATGAGGGAAGAAGGGCAGGGAGGGAGCAATATGGCTGCAGCATCCAAGACTACAAGAGATGTAGTGCAGAAGGCAGCCAGAGAGAAGGCTAGGAAGGAGGCTGGGCCCAGACTGCAATGAAAAGTTCTCGTCTACCTAACAAGTTCAGATTTACAAATGTGCCTCTGGAAGTAGTGGAGGATGGCTAGAAGTTACGGCTACAGACAAGACAGTCCATAATTACAGCCCAAGAGAGATGAGAACCTTCGCTCTGTTGGAAGAGAGGACAAAAGTAAGAAGATTGTGGGCATGAAGATCAAGGGGATGTATTATGCAGATCTTCTACCGTAGACAGTAGAGATGAGGAAAAAGACACCTTGGGGGAAAGGCAAGGTGGTGGTAGTGCTCTATTAACTTGGGGAATATGGGAGAAAGTAAGTTTGAGAAGAAAGAGTTCTATTTCATAAATGATGAACCTAACACAAAAAACACTATCAGGTATTTTTAACTAGTTTTTAGTTTTCCAAAGAAGAGCAATAGTCTGAGTTTATATCTGCTGTTACATCTTTGTAAATATAGGTGTGTACCAGTTACCACTCTCTGATTTAAATGTTATATTTGCTATAAGAACAATTTTTTTTTTTGCTTATTTTTCTAGAGACCTCAGAAACAAAGCCATGGCAAGAAATCAGAAGCATGGATTTTGCCCATTCTGCTCACATCTACTTTTTTTTTTTTGGTTAAACTCCTCTCAATTCTCTTCCCCTGAAACTAACATAGTTTAATATTTTCCCAGGGTGTAAACCTTGGGTCATCTAGATCCTGTATCCTTTAAGGAACAAAATCGTTACTTCATCACGTCCCTGCAGCTCTGCTGCTATCATGTAGTGAGTGTGCAAATACTTTCACTAGCCTGAGGCCCCGAGTTCAACTCCCCAGTACCACCAGAACAAAAAAATCATAGCTGGCAGAGTGGCTCAAGTGGTAGAGCACCTGCCTAGCAAATACTTTTTGCTGAAAAAAAGTCCACCCACTCTTGCAACTGCTTTGCTCTGAGCATACAGACTAATCAAAGGGAGGCTGTACACTAGCAAATGGTACTGAAAAATATTACCATTATATTCTCTCTCCAACTGTGTTTATTATGAAATATCAGCTAAGCATCCTGAAATCCAATACTCCCCAACTGCTATTTAAAATTTTAATTATTTAGCTTCAAAACTAGCGTATTTTTCAAAAGGAACCCTCCATTCCAGCCAGGTTACCCTATTTCCACAATGTGTTCATTATCCCTTCCCAAGAATAGTGTTCACACAAAGCCCACTTAACTGAAAGCATTCCTCAACTTTCTGAGTTTCACACAACTATGTTCTTATGATAGGCTGTTTCCAATGATACTTACACATTGGTTTTAAATTTGTGTGGTGGGAGCACTGGGTTTTTGGCTCGCATTTCTAGCACTTCTATGTAATGAGGTTTCTTAGGAGTCCCACTACAAAGGCCTATCAAGTTCTCAGCACTTGTGTTTTCTTCTAAGTGTTCACCTTGGTCTGCAATTGTGATCCTTTGTAACTTGTCAACAAACAGGTTGTCAAAGTTGCTGGAAATATCTTCTGCTTGACTTGAAATAAAATGCTGGGGGAGATGGCCTCTAGCTCCAGGTGCCCTGGCTCTGCTGCTAGAAGCTGGGCACTTATTCACTGTGTACTCAGTCTCTGGAATCTCTTCATTGCTTTTGTAAGCTGGATGCACAAGTCCCTGTTTTTCTGAGGTTGTTTTAGATGACTTGATGTTATCTACAGAGGAACGGCCAGGAACTAGTGATGAAGTATCAAGTATCTGGTCAGAATTCTGTGCCTTCTTTATGTCCACATCAACTCCTGCAATTGCTTTTTGCTTTAGCTTACAGTCTAAACTAACAGGACGCAACAGTTCACTTTTTCCTCTAACCTCTTCACGTTCTGCAATGGCAGCTTTCAGTTTGGCAACAGTGCCTGAGATCTTTTTACCTTTGTCGGGCAATTTGCAGATGAATTTTCTGTCAAATGGAAGAAATGTGTACATTAGAACCATGTATTTGAAATTGAGACATAATATTTAAAAAGCAAAAATATTATCCTCAAAGGGAGAAAAGCTGATTCTTACATCAAAAATCTGATTCTAACTGGCCTAAATGAGAAACAAAACAAAAACAATTATCCAAGTACCAAAAAAAAAAAAAAAAAACAAAAACCACACAACAACAAAAAAGAAACAAACACAGGGAATACATGATTCATTTATCTCACCTAACCAGAATTTTCACCAAAAGAATTTTAAGACTACAGGTTGTACATTCTTAATGTGAAAATCCAAAATCCTCCAAAAACTGAAGGTAAGCACTGATATGACTCCACTAGTGGAAAATTTCACACCTGACCATGTGTGGTGGGTTTCAGTCAAAACAGACACACTAAAAATGGTGCATAAAATTTCATGCAGGCTATGTGCATAAAAAATATAAATAAATTTCATGTTTAGACTTGAGTCCTATCCCCAAGATATCTCATTGTATATATACCATTCCAAACCCTGGAAAAAAAAAATCTGAAAAAAAAAAAAAAAAAGAAACTTCTGGTCTCAAGCATTTAAGATAACAGATACTACACCTGTATAATAATAATCTAAGCCACTCCAAAAAAACAGATTTTAAAATGTGATTTCCAACACCTACGGGGGTTGGAGGATGGGTCTGTAAGGTCAAAACTAACTTCATGATTCGAAGACAGTATTTGCCACTTCCCTCTGGATGGTCTCACATGGGTACAGTGGCGTCTTCCAGAGGCTACCTGATGTGGAAACATCACTGTTCTGAAATGGAACACGGACTTGTGCATTCTCATATTTTAAAGATTTTCTCAGTTGTTTCTGAAAAACCAGTAAGAATTGTTAGATAAAACATGAGCTCTCTGGGTTGCCCAATAATTCTTAAAGGGCATACTTTTTGGTCCAGAGACCAAAAAGTTAATTCATTGCTATACCTTAAAAACCCATTGCTGGGCTGGGACCATGGCTCAGGTGAGTTCAAACACCAACCTCACAAATCTTACCAAGTCAAGACACCTGTCTCCAGTAGGAAGCCCTGCTGCCAAGTGATTATTTGTTCCTTTTAATGAGTGACAGAAATTCACTGATCCTGTTTTCTTCAGTTACATAATAAATGAAGAGGGAAGATTCTATCTCTGCCCCCCATTCTCTGACACTGCATTCATTTCCACAATTTCAACATACTAACACCTCACTACAACTAAGATTCCTCTACCTTCCCAGCATTCTCTCTCCTGAGCCTCAGGCTCTGCTCCCTTCCCTAGCTTTTAACTAATCAGTTTTTAATTAACTTAATCTGTCTAGCTCTCCCCTCAACTCAGCACACCTTACATAAAACCAACCTTTAATCCATTCCTCTCCCCGATTTTCCTATTTTTTTGGCTCTCCACATAGATAGGAAATTTGTCCTAACTATACATTCTAACTACTCCATTCTCGATGCCGTTTTCCCAATCCCTACCTTCCTAGTTCATTTACTCACAATACCCTTGATGGAAACTTCTCTGAAAAGATCCTCTGCCTCTTACTTCTTCAAGCCATCTTGCATCAAGCTACTAAACAAAACTGCCTTTAAAACCAAAAACACGCCATATGGCTCCTTACAAAAATTCACTGAGACTACCTGCTGAAGGACAGTGAAAAGTTTGGGGCCTAATTAACCACTCCTCCCATCTCCGACGATCCCTGTAAACGCAGACCTAGACATGAAAAGTGACAGCACGTTGTGGCCAAGGGGAGGAGACGGGCCAAGCGACTGGGGATCCCACGCTCCCCTCTGGGTGAAGAGACCCAGGGGAGCTGAGGCGTTCGGCAGCCGTTCGGTACGTGTCCGACCGGCATGAAGCGCGGCGGCTGCAGGCCGTGCCCTCGCCGCGGGGTCGGCAGGGATCTGACCCGGGCAAGGTCACCTTCCGGGAAGGGATCGCGTGGAGGAGGGGAGGGGGCGTCCCAGGGTGTCCTGACCCTACCAGCCCGCGTCACGCCGCGCCACCCCAGCTTACTCGTTGCGCAAAAGTCTCTCCTGGCGCTTCAACATCTCCCGCAGCTCCGCCAAACTCCGCTGCCCCAAGTCCTCGGGAGCTTGGGGCTCGAAGCCGCGGGGCAGCGAGGACATTCTGCGGGGGCTGAGGCTGACGAGGCGGCGGGCAGTCGGCGTCCTCCGCAGACCCCACCGCTGGCGCCAGATCCGCGGCCGGCGGCGACTCCGGAGCACGAGCGGGAGTAGCCATTTTCCCGGAAGAGCAGGTCTTCTTCGAGCCCAGTCGAGCTTTATTGAAACGCCGGAAACAGACACCGACTAGGTGAAGGGGGCGCCCGGAGGAGCGCGGAGGGGCGGAAGTGACGCAAGATTACGTAAGCACCTGGATTTGGCGCGCTTTCTCCTCATGTATGCGTTCATCAGCTCAAAGAGTATTGAAGCCCGGTGTAATGGTGATGCACGCCGGAAACCCCAGCAGAGACAGGAGGTCGAAAGTTCGAGGCTAGACTGAGCTACATAGTAAAACCCTTTCTCAAAAAAAAAAAAAAAGTATTCAGTGCCTCTGTGATCTCACTAAGAAGTGAATGTAAAGTGAACAGACAACGTGGTCCCTGTTAAGGAATTTGCAGTGGTGGAAGGAAAACACAGTAGTCAAGTAATAGTAAGATTAGGATGGGCACCTGGGAAGGTATCTCTTGAGAAGTGAAGTTGAAGTCGAAGCCTACAAGGTCCGTGGTAACCATTAATGACATAGGGAGAACTCAGGACAGGATTTGGGAGGTCCTGGACTATATCGGATGATGCCTCCTGGCTTGGTAAAGTTTTGAAATGCTAAAGGAGTGCCTTGGAGACCATCAGTGTTTCTCAATGAGATTCCCAGCGACATTTGAGCGGGATTTTCCTGTACATCACAGCCTGGGCCATGACAGGATACTCCATGTGGGTTCTCCCCTGTACTTTCTTAACAGTCTCAAGTCTTTGGAATAATGCAAAACACTCCTCTCCTGCATTGCCAAAGGTCCACTGGAGAGGTGTTGGGGTGGGAGGTGCTATACAAGCAGTTGAGAACCTGTGTTTCCTTAGTCCCTGTTTTGTCCATAGACAAACAGAGACACTAAAACTGAAATGAATATTCCCCAGGAATAGAAGAACAACAAGCAGCAGATTCAAATCCTAATGTCTAGCTGCTTCTCTACCATATCAATCTGAAAATCAATTCCCTTCTTCACTTTAAGCTTATTTCCAACTGTATAAAATTATCGAAAAGATTTCTTCTGGCTGTTAAGAAGAGGAAGACAAGCTTCAAACCAAGTTTTACCTTCACATCTTTGTAGTTCAGCTAGGAAAGCTGTGTCCCAAAGGAAAGAATAGGAAGCATTGTAGGTCACAGCACTTATTATTTGGGAGAGTCACTCAGATATCACTCCCATAACTACCCCCAATCTTTTGCTATAGAAAATTGAATTTTTTTCTTCAGTCTTATGTAAGATGCTATATAAACACACGCAACCCCTTTCTAGAAGACAGGAGGAGCTCCAGATAAAATCTGAAACTATGCCAGGGAGCCAAATTGCAGTCATTTCCAAACTACCCCACCCTCCAAACACACCTAGTTCATTGTGATAAAGTTAACTTATTAATAAAAATAAACTTTCTTAATATAAGCCTTGCTTCCAAGGACTTCAGTAACCTTCAGCCCTAGGTGAATGACAAATAAGGGCCTTGAGTCAGGTAGTTTTTCTTGGCAAGTTCCCACCATCCCCAAAAAACACTCCTTCATCTTGCTCTTGGGCCCCAGCTATAGGACTTTGTTTCCCCCATAATAGTGAATTCCAAGCCACACTGCCCTCAAGGAAAGAATGTCTTTCTTTCAAGCCTCTGAATTCTGCCCCCTCCTGTTTTCCTTTCCTGGAAGGCTGTCCCTTCTCCCTTTTGGCATTTGTGAGTCTTATATCATCTCCTCCCTGAGTCTTTCTGGATTGTTCAAAATCAAATTGCTCTTTCATTTGAGCACAACAATAGTGCTTAGAGTTGGAACCTCACTGCATGAAGCATATTATAAGTCTCTATATCCTGCATGGTAGGTTTTTTTTTTTTTTTCCTTTCTAACAAAATTGTAAAGTCTTTTCTGTCAGGAAAATATGTTTGTGTTTCTGTATCTTTGCTAGCTCATGTAGCAGGGACTAATTGATAGAATCTCCTTTCATAATTTTTCTTTTGACTGTTCCCCCTTAGTCTTTCTATAAATGAAACATCTCTTTTGTATATACAGATCTTAAGCTTTTAATGTAACACAGCCACAATTACTGTGAAGATATTTTCAGTTGTGTGGGATAGAATCATGTACACAACAAGACTCAGGACATCAAGATGTCATAATATAGTGGCTGGGAATGGGGCTCAGTGATAGAGCACTTGCCTGGCATTGCAAGACCCTGAGTGCAATCCCCAGTACTGCAAATAAATTAATTAATTAAGTAAGATGTCACAGTACAAATCTGAGTTCTAATCAACATCCATGCACAAAGGATCTGGTTCTCTAGTCACTAGCCAAGAGGCATGGCAAGTGAAGAAACTTCACCCTACACCAAATTGCATTTCAGAATGAAAATAAGCAAAATATTCTTTCATAAATCACCAAACAAACAAAAGATAAGTATCAGGAACAAAAATTTTCACAGCAGTGTCTATGGAAAAAGATATAAAATGGAGAATTTTTTTAAATGGAGAAAGAAAAAAGCTAGAAACAATGTTACTTGTTAGCAACTGAACCAAGCAACCCTTCAGAAAAAAATGGAGCCCACAAACCAGAAGCAGCTGATCTCTGCTATAGAATTGCATTTCATACTAAAGAGCCCATTTGTTATAAAAATGAATCCAGACAAGTATTTCTGAATTTTATTTGTTTTTGTTCTTCATTCCTCATTTAAAAAATCATTTTTCTGATAGTACTTTGTAAACTAATGAATTTAGCTGTGTTATAAAGGAAGAAGAATTCAAATAATTAAAGAAAATGAAAATATCATCAGTCACATGAATTACTGATAAGATGACTTACAGCCGTCCTTTGCCACATAGCTGTGCAAGGACATTGAACATGATTAAAAACAAAAACAAAACCTTGGGACGATTTCTATTTGTCCATACAGAATTGAAGATAAAAATTGACAATCAATTCTGAAATTGATTAGAGCTGGCAGAGTGACTCAAGTGGTAGTGTACTTACCTAGCAAGCCTGAAGCCCTGACTTCAAACCCCAGTGCCACCAAAAAAAGGAAATGAAATTGATAAGCATTAATCTTCTGAATTTCCAGACTGTCCCCTCCTGTTTTCTAACATTGGTTGTCAGTGTTGGGGATGAATAGCCACAAAACTAGCCACGATAACACTGGAGGTAGCCAAAATGGCAGTGGCATTTTGTGTGGTTTGGGTATGAGCCACCTCCAATGGCTCATATGTTAGAGCTTGGTCCCCAGTGTGGTGGGACCTAGGAGAAGTAATTAGCTCACTGAGGGCACTCCCTCAAAAGAAATTGTTGCACTTCTTGTGAGACCCTGGTTAGTTCCTACAAGGGGTTGTTATAAAAGAGCAAACCTCACCCCTGAATGTTACCTCTGGCTTCCTGTCTCACTGTGTGACCACTCTCTGGCATGTACTCACACCATGTTGATAATATCTACCATGAATCCTTCACCAGATGCCATGCTCTTGAACCTATAGAACTATGAGCTAATAAACCTCTTTTGTTTACACATTACCCAGTCATAGGCATTGTGTTCTAGTAACAGAAATAAACTATCTACATGCTCTTCTTACTATTTACATTTAACACTCCTATCAAGAAATGGGGTCTTACGCTAGGCATGGTATTACATGCCTGTAATCCTAGCTACTAAGGAGTCTGACACAAGAGGATCACAAGTTGAAGGCAACTTAGTAAGAGCCTGTCTCAAAGTAAAATTTTAAAGGGATGTAGCTCAGTGGTAGAGCACTTGACTATTATGCTGAAGGCCCCATGTTCATTCCCCAGTACTGGAGAAAAAGAAAGGGCAGAGTTGAGAGCTAGGGATGTTGTTCACTGGTAGAGCACTTGCCCAGCATGTGCAGGGCAGGGCAGGGGGAGGGGAGGGAAGGGCAGGGCAAGAGGGGAGGGAAAGGCAGGGCAAGAGAGGGAGGGGAGAGCAGGGCAAGAGAGGGAGGGGAGAGCAGGGCAAGGAGGGGGCAGGGAAGGGCAGGGCAAGAAGGCAAGAGAAATAGAGAAGGGCAGGGCAGGGCAGGGCAGTACAGGGCAGGGCAGGAAAGGGAGAAGTTGACCTTCCCTATCCTTGAGTCTGGACATACTTCTAGCTAGAGCAAAAGTGATTTTTCCAGTCTAGATGATAAAAGCATAAGTTCTGCCACACTTTCTTGGTCTTACTTTTCAAATGCATCCAGCAAACATGAGGACGCCCAAAATGTGTTGGTGTTTTGCCCAAACTTAACAGGCAAAGTCAATCACCAGATATATGAGTGAGGAAACCTTCAAATGATTCCAGGCCTCAACTGCCAGCTTTCAAGACTTGCAAAATAGGGCCCCAGGTGTTGTGGAGCAGAAACAGCCTCACTATGCCTTTTCTGGACTCCTGACCTACAGAATTTGGGATGTAATAAAATGTCTGCTGTCTTACCTTTAGGTTTGGTGGTTCATTAGACAACAATGGGAACAGGAACATTATCCTAGATTAATCCATTCAGGTATGCACTGCTCTGGATCTCATCCGCCCTTGCCTCTTTGGAGATCTCATCCATTGGTTCAATAAATATTTATTGAGTGCCTATCATATGCAAAATACTCTTTAAGGCTTTGGGGATATAGTGATGAATAGAGAGATTTCATCCTTCATTGAAGCTTATATTCCATCAGCTAGTTCTAAGTACCATACAGAAAATAAGGTGATACGTATTTGACTGATTGGCCAATTGAGGCTGGTTTTTCTAAGGAAGTAACTTACAAGCTGAGACCTGATGAAAAGCAACCAGCCATGTAAATATCTGATGGAACAACATGTCAAGTAGCGGGAAGAGAAAAAATTTAAGCCTCTAAAAGGAGAAGGAGCTCAGCACGCTGAAATAACAAGTCCAATGTGGAAGTTTTGGGGTTGCTCTTGTAGGGCTTTGTAGACCAGGCTATGGAATTTTTACTTTATTCTAAGAAAAATAAGAAGCCATCTGTGGGCAGTCAGTAAGATGGTCCCCAAAAATGGTCCCACTCCAGGGTAAAA